AAATGTTCTACAAGAAATAATAACAACCGTGTAATTTGAAAATACAAGGGGAAATACGCGTCTGGTTGGTCATTTTTGTTGTTATGTTTTTGTGCAAATGTTTTTTTCTGCAAGCACAACATGTACCACTACTATTACTATACGCGGTGGGAAGCAGGCATTGATGCGTGATCAGTTGAAGTTTGCTGTGGAACATTGCGATGGTGTCGTGTCCCCGCGATCGGCCGACGTGTGCTCGCCCCGCTCGCTCGCTCGCTCACGTCGCCGCTCACTCGGGGATGGCGATGCGGATGAGCAGCCGGTCGTTTTGCCGCCCGTTGCGGAAATTCGAGGTTCGTTCCCAGCGACCGCCCCGGTTAATACCGCGTGTGTGTTTGCCGAAAGCGTGGGCCATTGGCTGCACGGTGGAAGTACGAGAAGATCGCACGCTGCTGTTCGATAAAGAGCAGGGCCACGTGTGCCGCCGTCACATGTTTTTGCCTTCTTCAAATTTTTAAAGATGACTTGCAAATTTCTTAATTGGGTAAAAGTCACACGGCAGCAGGACTATACTCTTCTGTGAGACAAAGCAACGTTGTGTGGCGATAACCTTGGGCTATAAGAATGGAACAAATGCCACGTGCATTTTGTTGCTTTTCACGATGGAGCAGATGACGCAGGCATTTATTGTCGCCGGTTCATGTTTGGTTAAAACGAGCACGAGGAAAATAGCAGCAGTGGGAACAAAACGAGTACCTTACCCTTTTTTGAGTCAAGTATTCTCTTTGTGTGGTACGGGGGACAGAATGTTCTAGCTACAACAATTTATATTCAGACAGATGCCAAAGGAAGTGTTTGTTGATCATAGCATTTGTTACGGTTTACAAAGCGAGATTTCGTACGCGGGGCGTCGTTACAGTCGGGCAGGGAAGGCCTTGCGGCTCATTTGACTCGCGCGGTAATTCGGCCTTAATTGCTCATCGTTACGACGAAACAATATTTTATATTGACATTTTGAGATGCCGAGTTAAATAAAAACCTGTTCTTTCATTTAAAGCCAAGGCCGAGCTTCTCGCCACTCAAACAGGGCTGGATTCGTCCCCCGTTGGCCTGTCTCGGCCAATGATATAAATTCCACATTCCTATTGCAGGGGCCATTCTTCCATAGCCCTGCCATTCTCCCATAGGACAATCATTGTTGACTTCCTAGAGATACGCTACCCATTTTATTGACGCTGGAGGGCTAAAAGTTCTGATTTAACCCCCCCCCCCCGACCTTCTGACTATAGGTTGGCAGCTCTAACTAGAGGGCTACTTTAATGTTAGCCATGGCGATCAAAAAGACAAAGATTCCCCGTGTAGCCTTAATTGACTGTTGGGGCAGGTGCTGTTAGCGAGCACCTGTGAAGGCCGGCACTGTGGCACACAAGGGGGTGGGTGGCCAGCACCACGCCCGGCCGCCTTTGTCTCTCCCTAGTGGCAATGTTTACACACTGCACCAGGTACTCATTTGAGGTTGAGTCGACCTAGGGGTGGCCCAGGACCGATTCAGATAACCAGTCACTGGTGTTGGCCGTGAGCGGGAATCGAACTCGGGTCGCGGGGTCGTAGCGTAGCGCGCTAACCGTTACACTACCGCTGCCCACGCACACACACGCGTGTGTGCGTGCACACTCACATGTGTACGCACACACGGGCAGATACATTCTCAGTGTGCTTTGTGGGCCCAACACATTAACCCTCATCATTGTTATTATAATTTACTTTTTATGCATACAAATAAAAAACAAAAAGCTAGCGAATAAACCGAATGACCCAGGCGGAACAATGAATGCAATTAAACATCGACACCGTCGGCAAGAATGGGTTGAGCTGACGTTTAGCTCAGCTGAGCCCAGCACTGGGAGCGCTGTCATTTTTTTCTCCTCTTCCACCTCCCCGTGATTTCACCAAGAGCAACCTCTGAGCCCCCCCCCCTCTCACCCCCCATCGGTGTAGAAATGCTCAAGGGCTGAGCGTCTCATTTCTCGTTTCATCCTGACCGAGCGGAATTAGATCTCTGCGCTCGAGCGATCGGCCGGAGAGGTCACAGCGAGGTTGATGCACAAATCACAACCCCGCGGCGCGCGGGTGCTGCTTGTGGCGGCGATTACGCACACCGATAAATCCGGGCGAACTTGGAGGTCGGTGCTTCGGTGGGTCGCACTGAGATCGTGTGCGCGAGACTCTTTTTTTTATCCGCCCATTGCTGTTGCCGGCAAACGAAGTGGCATCTGTCGTCGGTGGTGGTTATGCAAGGAGGGTTCCTGGCCTCTTCGTCAATAGGTTGGCCTGCCTGTTAATAGCTTGGCATGTCCATAATTGTTTTGAGTGTTATTCACTCGTGTGCGCGAGCGTTTTTGATGTCGGAGGTAACTGGAGGTATCTGAGCCCGTTAGTCAGGGGTCACGTCAGCTCGGTAAACATCATGGCTGATACGATCTAATGCCCTGTAATGTAAATGCAGATTTAGATCTCTCTGAGACAGAGCCCAAGGCTGTTGTGAATATCGTCCGAAGCCGGAAACGCAACCCCACTGCGCACCATTAAAATACAACGCCGTGGTTGATAATCACAATGGCAATTAATTATGTTTGGTTTTAATTTGTTGTTGCGGCCTGTCAAATTAGCAGCGCCGGGGCGAGTTGCACGGTGAAAACAAAAGCACATCGCACGGAGCCGTGGTCAATTCTCCCGGCTGGACAAGCTGCCGCCACCACCTCTCAACTATCGCGCGATGCAAATGACCCGCCTGTTGCCTACGCACACCTCGATCTCATTGCTCGACCTTCCCTCTGCGCACGTCTTCTCGGAGGAAAGCGACGCGCTCGAATTCAATGAGATCAGAATGAGGTGACGACACTCCATTATTGGGGGCGAGGCGGTTGACACAGTGGTGAGCGACACTGTGCGATGACCCCGGTGACGTGATTAACACATTCCTGCGGAGGGAGCTGGTAGGAACGTTGGGTTGCTCGGTCAATGGCCAGGGTCAACGGCGGCGTGGTGTATTCCGCAAATATGGCCGACTGTGAGGGCGGGCACAAGCCGGCGTGAGTCGGTTAAACGTTGAGTTTTATAAGGGCACCACGGGGTGAGCAGCCCCTCCCCACCCTCCCTTTTTGGATGCACGACGGACGGACGGACACAATAATCCCCTGTGGGCTGGTGGAACCAGGTGGTTCCTACCAGTAAAATTACTATTTTGCTTGTTTACCCAGGAAACCCTCACTGAGCCTCAAGGAGTGTCCTGCCAAGCGTTCACAGTGGGGTGTTATGTTGCTATGTGTAATCCTGATTGAGTGGTAATTTTTCAGAATGTAATGTTAGGCTATGATGAGTCACATTGTATGGGGGGTGGAGGGGGGGGTGATTTGGCTATGGGAGGAAACCGGAGAATCCGGAGCGAACCAATGCAGAACAGGGGGAGAACATACCAACTCCACACAGAGAGGCAATCGAGTCGAGAATTGAACCCATGCCCTTCTTGCTGCGAGCCTCACGTTTACCACTCTGCCACCATACCACCCATGCTGACATCAGTGGGAAATTATATCTGAACCATTCGTACTGACCAGCATGGTAAAGTATGGCATACATCTCCATGACTGATATGATATGTGGGGAGGCATTTATTCAAGTAGATTGTCAACAGGATGAAAATTCGCATTTTATTAAACCATTATTATCACCCAATTTTCAGTGTATAATCATATTACCATTACTTACCATGACCTGGTTGATTAATATTTGTAATCAGTCGTCAGTGACTGATTACATTTCTAAAGTCATCCTCCTTAACAATGACCGTGGGAAGTGCCGCTGTGGCACTCAGCATTTGTCATTCACAGGCGCTGCGTAGCCACGAACTTGTGTGTGTGTGTGCGTGCGTGCGCGCGCACGCGCGAGATCGATTCCCCTTGTCCGTATAATCTGCGTGCCGCGCGATGATTTACGCCCGCGCCGTTTACGGGACGTGGCTCCTGGACCCCCTCCGCGAATCCGCGAGCCATCCTCTGAGCACATCCGTTCTGCCGTTGACCCCGAAGCCCCCCGTGGGCTGCTCAACGTTCACCCTTCGGTCCGTCCACACGAGGCGTGCCTTCGTCCCGCCGTCGATCAGTCGCGAGCGTCTCATTCCGTCCGCACGCATCATCTCTCGCCGTCATCACCGTTCCGTCCCGGCTCTGTCCGTGTCGGCTGCTGCATTGCCGGCCGCGCCTGTTTGACCGTGTCTCTTGAAGTGGCGGCTGGGTTACCGCCCCAGGTTTGCTGATGACACAGTCATTGTATAACGTCCAATGAGAATGAACTACTTGAAAACATGTTGAACTAACTATTAACCGACATTTTTTTTATATTTTACCAGGTAAGGCCCACTGAGCGATACAGTTTTTTTTTTCAAAAGTGACCTATCACAAATTATAGTTACAAGTATGTAATAAAAATAGGTCGCCATGTTGGGTTCAGGGAGAGAGATGGTAATGGCTTGGGTAGGCCTTCAACCGGCAGTGGATTTATCATGGCTGATGATGATGATGATGGTGGTGGCGGCATGCGAGTGTCTCCCTTCTCATCTCAGCATGGCACCGTGCTCACCTCCATTGGGGAGCGTAAACCATTGGCAGAGATGTTGAGGTGATATTAATGGTCATCCATTCCTCTTCCTCCTCCTCCTCTCAGCTTTCTATTCTGTCTGTTCCCTGTGTCTTTACATCTGTCTGTCCTTTTCATTTATTTGTCTATACATCCTGAATTTAACCTCACACCTGTGTGTGTGTAAACATTCAAAATCTGCCTTAGGAACGTGGAATTTCCACTGCTCGCTCGGGTGGGCAGCGAATGGAGATGAGCACCGTACCCCCTCCCTCTCGCGCTCCTAAGGGCAGGGAGCCCCCCGCGTGAGCAGCACCTGCCTCCGGCGGACGGCGCTCAGAATGGGCAGCGTTGTGTCCGTGTGCGTGCGGTGCGTGGCCGTGTAGGAGCTGGCGCGCGAGCGGTACGAGAAGCAGCAGCTCGGGCAGCGGCTGGAGGAGAACGAGGACGTCGTGCGCAAGCTGCACGCCGAGATTGACCTTCTCAACCGGGTGAGGAAAGGGGCCACCCGGGCTGCGCTCCCCCCAGGCCCCCCCCCCCCCCCAGGCCCGTTTATAAACGCGCCACGGCGTGCGCCACCTGCGGTTCTTCACGGGCGCGAAAAGATCGGCACGCCGTCGGGCACGAGGAGGAAGCCGTGGCTTCAAGGGCTCTCCGAGACCTCCGGCCTTCACGCCAACGGCTGTTTATTTATTTTTGACAATTGATGTTAAGTGTCCGGGTCACGCGAGTGCCGCCGTGCCTCGACTGACGTTTGTGATGGGTTCCCCGCACGGCTGTCACTCCCCCCCCCCCCCCTCGAGGCTCTCCCCGCCAGAGCCCCCCCCCCCTCCCCACCCCCCCAGCCTCCTTAACCTCAGCTGCAACAAGCGGTGGTCGTGAGCAACGGATCAGGCGTACCGCCGGGGAATCGGCAGCGGTGCTGCGGTTTGGGTCCTTTTATTTGTTTGTTAGACACAATCTTGCGGCCTGGATGGTTATTGGAAAATCGCGATTCGCAACAAAACCGACCGATTCTCATTCATTTATTCCCTAGATTCAATAGCAGTTGGTTAGGCGATCCGATCCGGCTTGATTTTGATTGGAGTTGATTTTAACCGTGGTTTTAAGGAGGTTTTAAAACGGTATTTAGTTTGCTCATGGATTTTCAATTTCACTCTGAATCCATTTTAAATTCTGAATTTTAAAGTATCTTAATCTACAATGTATTATTAAGCATAACTAAAACACATGGTGTAACGTAAGCATGTGAAATCAGTAAACATTACTAAATATATTTTTTCTTCAAGTGCTGTGCTATAAGAGACTAGCGGATGACTGCCGGGACTGCATTTCCATGTAGTTCTCATTATGCTCGGAAACAGCACGGGATGGATTAATTCGCAAGATACCAAGTACCGGATTATGCGCGATTGGAATCGATTGTGTGAGACCCAATTACAGTAACGTGTGATCTTTGCAAGTGATGCGTAAAGTGTACAGTGAGGTGAGTTAGAGGGGAGGAAATCGCAAAGAAACGACAAAGTGAGACGGTAAAAATTCGACAAAGATAATCGGTTGCTGAATTGGCTCGAGATCTCGAATTTGTAAAAAAATAATCTCGGAGGGGGTGGGTGACTTGTTACATCTTAGTAATTTTTTTCCACTTAACATTCAAACTAATTTGGGTTGCAATGTTTAAAGTACGATTTACTATATCTGTATTGACTGCGATTGCTATTTATTTCCCGCCTAATTACAATTTACTTACCATGTTAATATTTGGATGTTCCTTTGAAACATTTAGTGTAATCAAATACAATATTGTGTATTACTTAAAGCCGCCGAATGCATCTCGTAAGGTTTGAGCCGTTTCTCTGTACGAAAAACCAATATCATTTTTTAAAATATAATTGATCGGACATAATCCCATGCAACTATTTTGTTTGCAATCCGATTTTCATTCGGATCATTTCCGATTGTAGCAACGTCACAGCTGATCTCCCAAACCCTGCAGATCAGATTGGGTCAGAAAACCGTACAATTTCCGATTATGACCTCATCTGACGGACACCCCTCGTAATCAAACTGCCAAAGATAAGTACCGGTCATCCCTTATGATCAAGTCAGCGGCATAGTTATTGAGATGCCAGCGGTGGCAGCGGCAAGCAGTGGCAGCCGATGCATATAGATCATGCTGCAAAGCATACGATCGCTGCAGAGTGTTGTTGTTGTTTCCAAGGTTATGTCAACCTCATTGTTAAACAGTCAACAAAAGACAAAGTGTGCGTCCTCTGCTCAATCGAGTGACTGGCTGGCTCTCATATCAGCACCCATGGCCCTGAGCCAGGCGAGTAAATTCTAATATCCACGGAAGGGTTCATTCTACCTATGGGGATGGCCTTTTGTTGGCTCAGCCACCAAGTGTTGCCGATTTTACCCACCGTGTGGACAGCGTAATGGACCTGAGGGGGATAATGCCACTTAAGTGGAAATTATTTGATTAATAATTTCGCGCTTGCCCCTTTGTGCGCCATCTTGAAATACAAGGGGAAAACGTATGCCAGAATCTGAGTATTTATCTATACTGGAGGAATCTGATGAGCTAGAAAGGTATTTTTCACAGATGTCCAGTATTTTATCGATGTCCAGTAATGTCTGTTGAACTTCCTTTGCACCGTACGTAGCCAACCGTGCTAATCGGAGGTGCGGGGGACGGACAACAAACTTAATACAAAAATGCACTTGTAAAGAAATGAGTTTTTAATCTAGATTTAAAAGTGTACGCTTCAGTGGCTTCCTAATAAAATAGTGGGTACATGCTGAACACATTTCAAAGAGGGGCATTTCTCTGCATATGCCCTTGCCTGCCACGAGGTTATGACTTTCCACCACGGAATGCCCTTTCATCCACCTCCAAATCGACACGGGGACTTCTCTCCTGTTTGAAAGGCTGCTTCTCGAACGGAAGCGTCGCTCGATTATCACTGATGCCATTGTGTTTTTCGCTCGGTTCGTCAGGATCTGGACGACCTGGAGGACGAAAACGAGCAGCTGAAGGAGGAGAACAAGACCCTGCTGCGTGTGGTGGGCCAGCTGACAAAGTGAGGTGTGGCGGCAGCATCGCGGTGGCGGAGGGGGTGGTGAGCTGCGCAGAAGCTCTCCCGCACAGCCGAGGCCGTCCTGCGCAACTCACCGACCTCCTGCAAAAACTAGCGTTCGTAGCGAGACGAGAATCGCCCCCCCGTTCAGCTGCCGATCTAAAAGAAGTTTGGGGATTTGAAAAAATAAATATGTTTGTTTTCTTCCCCTTTTGTTTCTCACCCACTGGACCGACGACACCGATGCTGGCGACGGCCGGTTGTGGTTCCCGCATTGAGCCAGGCCACGGGGGGGATGTCGCGGGAAGACGGCGCGTGACGTCCGTCGCTTCCTGAACCAGCCAGCGGTTTGGGGGAAAATTAAATGAATCTATCAATGTGGGGGGGCTAGGCGAATTTTAGAAGTGGTGGGGGGGGGGAGGTATGTTGCGGGCACGGTGGTTGCTTTGGGAAGCTAGAAGGTCAATTTTGCACATTTCCCATCGCCCCTTTCATGTCAGCCGACTGAGGATGCATATCGGGGGGCCGGTCTTTTGTAAGGAAAGGCAGTGGTGGGGAGTGAGACTCCTGAGAACGCCTGAACGGTGTTCCTCCAAGGGGGGTTGGCGGCGCTGTGAAGAACGCTTGCGCACACGAGGACAGTGTCAACCTCTCTCTCACCTCGGCTGTCGATCGGACGTGGCCAGGGCGCGGAGACCCTTGGGAGTCAACGGAGAGTCCCTGAACCACAAAGGATGCGAGAAAGCGGAGACCGGGTGGGACTGTTGGACAGTTACACACGTGTGCTTGCTTTTTCCAGCCACGCTGGCACAGGTGCGCAGGCGTGGATGTGTTTATTGACATCACCGTCGAGGACGTTTGAGCTGTAGAATTTCGTTGCCAAAGTTTGCAGCAAAAAAAATTATAAATAAAAAACTACAAATTGCAGTGACGTGAGCGATTTTTAGCATGCTGAAGTGCCTTGTCAACTATTTGACTCTTGTCAGAAATGCTGTACAATCATCCGCGCGAGTGTTTTCCGCTTTGTTGGCAGAGCGATCGATGGGCCACTCTCGCCAGTTTAACGTTGCAAACAGCGCACGTTTTGAAGGCCTCTTTGTTCATCGCACACTTTCACGGAGCGTTTTCGAGCACCCTGCATGCTTTCTTTGGCTTATTTCCTGCGTCGTTCCCACCATTGTGGTCTTAATCGACGTAAGCATTAAGATGCAAAAAACACAATAATCCTTAAATTTCGATTTAAAGCTTTCGTGACTGCAGGGATTCATATTCTTGGTTCTACGTGACTTTACCGAAAGAACCAAGAATAACAAGAATCCTTCTTGGAGCAGACCGTTGCTAAGGTACGCCTTCTGGCTCGTCAACTTCTCCGCGCGCTATTTATCACTTTGAGCATATCTCTTGAACGGCGTGTTGAGGTTGGATTTCGACTGGCTGTTGTGCGCATACTGTATACGTGGCCCAACGCACGCAAAGATGCCACAATCTTTGAACACTGGCCACTGTCATGGCGGATTACAGCACGGTTGCCACCTGTCCTGGTTTTTCCAGGATCGTCCTCTTATTGAGGTGGGCTTTTAGCTCACCCGGGAATCTATAAAGTTTTCCCGTAACATCAAAAGTCCCAGTTTTTGTCAGTTGCATAACAAGAACAACCCACTTCGTATATTGGTTTTGCATGTATTTCTCCTCTGTTCTGGTATTGCACGCTATTATTGTTTTTCCCGTGATATGTCCCGTTGTTTTTTATTTATACCTTTGAGAGGTGGCAGCAACCAACCCGAGGTCACAGCATCTCGCATTGAGCAATCACCATTTTGCCCACTCGAATTCACAACTTACAAAGTGAGGTTTCGCAAATTACCTCATAGGGCTCCTGTGCATGTGTGTGTGTGTGCGCGCGCACTACTAACCCGACGGCCCGAGTTCGATTCCCGCTCATGGCCAACACCAGTGACGATTATCTGAACCGGTCATGGGCCTTCCCTAGGTCGACTCAGCCTTAAATGAGTACCTGGTGCGGTGTGTAGTAAACATTGCCACTGCGGAGACAAAGGCGGCCGGGCGTGGTGTTGGCCACCCACCCCCCTCGTGTGCCGTTCCGGCCTTTATAACTGCTCGCGAACAGCACTTGCCCCAACAGTCTGTTAGAGGCTATACGGGCGATCCTTTGTCTTTGTGACAGTTTAAAAAAAAGAACCAACTGGCTTGTTGTGTTTCTGATGTGGTCTTTGATTGATCACTTGCTCGTTTTTGCCTCAGCGTGTTTGGTTAGACGTGTACACAATCGTGGCCACTAATCACACCCTTCCATAACAAGATTCGAATTGAACAGGTCAATGAGACTGTGACGGCCAATCGGCCGAAATGTCGACATGTCACATCTTCTCCATAAGAGTTCAAAAGCGTACGAATTATTATTTTCCGATGAACCTGTTATTTCACGTATATATATCTTCACAGAAGCAGAAACTTGATGACTCTTACAGGATTAGCATTGGTTTGTTTGAAATGTAATCTATCGATAATGAATGCATATGCTCGTATGTACACATTCATATTATATTACTGTGCCTTGTATTACTGTATATTTACTGAAAAATAAAGAGTACTAAACGTTGCGTTTGGTGCACCAAGTGGATCGTTTAAAGTGACCTCTGTGAGTTACAATTCAATTAATTGTACAGCCCTTTGTCAATCCACTGCTGGATGAATGTCTTCCCCCCACGCTGAATATGACCTCCCCCCCACCTTTCCCTAACAGGAGCACATGCACCAATTTTCAACGTTGGGACGGCCCTGCCTACTGCGGCCCGTCGCACATTTGCTGGATGTATTGTGTGAAGCGTTCGTGGATACCACGCGCCCACCGTGGGCACTACTGGCAGGCAAGGGGGGCTGCATTGGCTGGGTCATGTGCCCCCACCCCACACACTTGGCAATCACAAGCCCTGGCAGCTTTTGTTTGGCCAGCCATAGTGACCCGTTGAGGCGCAGCGGGGACTAAAGGAGCAGGACCTGCAGCCAAGCTAGGCGATTGCCATCGATGTCTGCAGAGAGATTTTTCCTTGAAGAAATGGGTGAGATGTGTTTGGGGAATTGAGGGGAATTGAGTGACATACGAAGACTAATTTGTTTGCGGATTCGTCGCTGCAGTTTTTGCGTTGCGGCGTGCACTTTAAAAATGCACGCGAGGCATCAATTTCCAATGAGTGAGCACCATCGATCCTCCGTACCATCGAGCCCCATGGACGCCGACACTTTTACCATCGACGCTTTTGACGACTACCCTGTAAGATGACCCTTTTTTTTTTTTAAGGCTGCATGACCCAAAAAGACCCCATTAGATCGCCCGATGGCCCGGCCGCCTAATTGGGCCAGCCGACTGCCACTCGGCACCGTCGTTTAATTGACCCCAGACTTCGCGCGAAACGGAGCTCTGTCGCGAGTGATAGTCATGAAACCTATTGGCACGCGACGTTGTTTTTCGCATTCCGCCTCGTTGGAGGCGTGTACACACGTAGGGGAATTTTGTTGTTTGTCGGCAAGCTTTCGTCAATAAACACAAGCGGAGTCGATAACTCGGAGAAACTCGCGGCACTGACTTGGATGTCTCATTTGCATCACTTATCAGCAGGACGTTGGCAGACTTGGCACTGTCAGTATCCAGCGACACTACATGAACCAGTGGGGGTGGGAGTTTGTTCCAAGTGGAGTGAGTGTCGTGGCGTCAGTAACTAACTCTACGTTTTTTTTCCTTCCACAGTTGTGCTGCACGGCTCTCCGATGAGTTTTCGGGGTGTCGTGCCGCGCGTTTTTCGGCGCGGTGTCCCGACGTTTTCGAGGGCAAGGAGCGAGCTTTGCTCAGTCCTGTTGCCGTAGAAGCTCCCGTCGCGTGGAGCGCAGCGTTGGGACACCGCGTCGAACAACACGCCGTGTTACGGCCTGAAAACCCATCGGTGGGACAGCGAGATAGCAACGTTAAGCCGGATACCACCGACCGCTCGAGCTGGACTCGTATGTTGCATCACTTGAAAACATTGATGAACGTAATTGGCATAGGTCAAGCTCGCTCTCGTCAACCCACCGTCGACAGTGCAACGCGCTATTCGGGGCGGTGACGCGGCGACGCGGCCCAGCGGCCCAGCGGTAAGCGAGTTTTGCCCGCTCGTTGCAGGGGTTCGCGGTTCGAATCCGGCAGGCCGCCCTGCTTATTGCTGCGCCGCCTGCTTCGCGGGGGGACGTTAAGGATCCCGCGAGATCGATCGAAAAGAGCAGCGCCATTGTGTACCGAGTGTCGGTGGTCCAACATTTTGAGGCATGAAAAATTACCGGCAAGTTTACTCGACTGGGACTATACACAGCAGCATCGCTCGCCGCTGCGACGCTTCCGCAGACAGAAACACGGGCACCTTCCTTCGCGACAGCCCCTTGCGCCGGTGAGAATGGCGCGTATACCAAACGTACTAATTTATTATAAAGGTCCGATAAGAGGAGTTTCTCGACGAGTTTCGGGGAATAAGTAGCCAAGCGAGTTTCGTTCCGACGCCAGCGTTCCATCTCCAACGCCAGGAGGCTCACCAAGTGCAGGCCCTTTCACGTCCTTGGCAGCGCCCCCCCCCCCCCCCCCCGTTGCCACCTGGGTGAACACCTTTTTTTTTGGGCGTCGCTTGCGAGGACGCACGGGCACCACGGTTCAGCCTTCGCACAGACTTTTATTTCGATTATTGCAGCAAAAGAGCAGCCACAGTCGTTATATTTCTGTTGACAAAATTGACATTTGTAATCAATAATAACAAAGTATAGTGGTAATTATAATAACATGTGAGGACTCTTCTAAACACTTTTCGTTCAACAATTTCAACATTGTAGATGATTTATTTTAGTGCACACGGTTACTCAACTACAGTTAACAGCGCCAACACAGAGCATGCAACTTAGGGCAGGCCTATGTAGGAACTGTGAAAGGTTAAACGTGGATTTGTTTCTTTTCTCGATAACGTGTTTTATATGTTCTCGTTTTTTTTTTTAACAGACGTGATATGTGCAGCCACCGGTTAGACTATCGATTCTCCCTCCAAATCTGGCAGCTCAAAGGGTAACTCATCGCCTGTGTATGACCCGTCCCCTCCCATAACTTTAAAGCCAGTAAGCGTACATTTTATAATACAGTTTGATTTATGATACCATAAGTTTATTGTAATGGCAGGGGACATGCACCGAGTGAGAGAGGGACTGCGGTGATGCCTGCTTACCGCACGCTCGGGTCATTTTATGTTTGCCGGTTTTAAAAACCGCTCCAAAAAGCCGCCCTCGAATTATTCGATGCAGCCGTCGCACCTTCTCGCCACGCTCGGCGTTAGCCATCGACCTCCACGCCTGCCTCCAACCAAAACTGAATTATCTGGGGTTCACCTCTGATACAAAGGTAACTCGACGTAGACGCAATACACGCGGCTGGCACAGGCTTGGTGAGGCTACTCGCCGAGCGTGTGTCTTGTCGGAAATTGGACTGCACACTTTCACTCTGGCCGCAACAATAATAATAATAACAACGAAGAGGCCACCCAAAGTTAAAACACGAGTCTCGGGAAAATTCAAAAAGCCAACCCCGTAATCTTTCACAGCATCCCGAACGTGTGGCCACATGGAGATGCACGGTGGCTGGTATAGACCACGGACAGACGATTAGAAACAGAACGACACGGAACGTAGCATTCATTTTAGATGAGAAATGAAACCATTTTAATGACGAACAATGCACTCATGTTGCGTAATGATAGCTACAAACTGTACAGCACCACAGACCTCACTGAAGAAAAAAAGAAACCAGAAGCGTAAGCACTGTACTCAAATAAATACATACGTACATAAATATTAGCAAAACGATATAGTTGCGTGGTATTTTTTTTAATTTAGTTTAAAATGGCTTACCCATCATCGATGTCAATAACCGCTATGCACCAACTCTGCGTACTTCGGAATGCAACACGCGCGGGATATTGTTCGTGGCTAAAGTTTCGTTTTGGTTGGAAGGAGCTGCACACGCGTCTACTTGATACGTTTGGTAGCGGAGAAGCAATCGAGGGGATAAGTAAAATCTAGAAGGGCCCCCCGCCCCCCCCCCCCCGTGATTCAGTGGAGACCCAAGGGGCAGTCGTGAAAGTTGCAAATTTTGTGGCCATCAACTGGACTTTTGTGAACGTCCTTTGTCCCAAATACTCAGTGTCCTTGGCGAGGTTTGAATCGTTGCCTTTTTTTAATTCTTCCCCGTCATGCCGTGAAGCAACACGAGTGGTGCCAGGCTTGGATCAGTGCGAGTCAGTTCGAGGTTTCCGTAACCTTTGAGAGCCAGACATTGTATAACTTTCCTTACCTCTCTGATGCAAAATTAACTGAGCTGAGTGAGGCGGCTCTTTTTTTTTTACGCAAAGAATCCAGGCGAGGTTAGGAGGTATTGGGAGCGAGGAGGGTTGGTCAAAAGGTAGATAATGATGTTAACATGTTGAAATCTATTTTTATATGTCCCGGTATATGTTTTGCATTGAAATTTTGCACTCTCCTCACTAATTTTCAGTCCAATTTTCAATTTATCCTAGGTCTTCCTTGCTGAAATTTATCAATTGTCCCAATTGGCCATTTCCTGGAAAAATTACAAAAGCCACCGACTTACCGTCATTTGGCCCTGTGACATAAAAACAACAACAACGCTCAAACAGCTCTCTCGATTCAGGAAAGTTAGTTACGCTTCGTGATTAACAGGCCTAATGCAACCGTGACCTGCTTTTCGAATCCATGGGAACCAGCTGGCCCAGTTCCAATCAATCCCTGGCCAACATCCCCTTGCTCTGTTTGACGCAGCTGTTTGCAAGATAGTGTAGTGCTGTCTGTGATCACTGATTGAAGGGACACTGTATGTATATATTGATCGATATCCCAGCCGGGGGATGCGGGGTACTGGTGTCGAGATTAAGTAGTGTTGCTCTGTGATTGTTCGGACGAAGGACACGATATATCGATCGCTGATTGAAGGACACAACATTGGTCACGTGGACAGGATATTTGTTGCTATTTTTGTGGTAGCACGCGGGTGGGGGGGGGGGGAGATGTGCATTCGTGATCTTTGTCACTCTACCTGGAACACCTTTATTACGACCTTCTGAGCTGCTTCCTCTCTTCAAACCTGCCTTTGGTTATGACGTTAACTGCTCGGATGGTCACTCAAGAGTGGGTTCTGTTCGCAGCCTGGACTCTGCAACAGGTTAATGTTTTGGAAGGCGACTGCCAATTTTTTTGTCCAGTTGGTCCTTATATGAGTGGGCTCATTGAGCATAGGTTAAAACATTTTTTTTTGAGAATCAACGTTGTCAGTGGTGCTGGGCGCTGCTGTTGATGTTTTGCTCAGAGCGATATTACTGCTTTATTTATTTTACGAAGTGGTGTTTGTGGATGGCAGCGCAGCAAGTAGTGCAGTGTTTTCTGATTGGATCCGATTTTGGGAATCCTGCATTTCTTCCACAGGCACAAATAATCAACGGGACAGACATCCCAAGTATGACCATCCAAAACATCTTGGAGAGACTTAGCGAGCCTTACGTGGCTAAAAGGCCGATAACTAATCATATAATAATTACTATAAGCAATAATTGAACATTAATTTACTCCCCTTTGCTAATCAATGGCAGAGCGAAGGCCTCCCCATGCCGTGTCAGTCACGCACGGAGTTCAGCAGCCTCCATCCGGGTACCTGGCTGCTCCTAGCTGTCTCATGCACATAGCCTGCATCTGTTATTGACATTTACATATATATATGTTTTGCCTCAGCCAGACTTATGCTCAGATTTGCGACGTTAGACCGGATTTGAATCCGCATCGGGCATGCGGTAAATTGTATCCCTGGTGCAGAGCGTTAACTGACATGCCGGGGTTTGAGGGGCAAGCTTTTAACGGGCGTCACGGGGACGTCAAGAGGACGGGGTAGTTGGGACAAAGACGCACAAAACATCGCGCACTTCAACGGTACTCAGTCGAGAAAGCAAATAGCTGTGCACATCACGCGGGGGAAATGAATAAACCCAAAGCGAGTCTACGTTTCCATAAAAATGTGAGACGAGTCAGTGCCCAGTGTTGAGTGAAGAAAACAAATCCTACATGCCTATATTTAATGTTTTTAATTTAATCACGTACAACACCTTGGGAGCGCATGAATATTTTAGTATTCCATAAAAGTACGTTTCTGGCAGAGCATCGTGTCGGCAGACTAATTTTTTTGTTATATATATGACAGACAAGCAGTTAGAAAATCCTGTCAAGTAAAAAAAAAGTTCTCCCTCGCAAGAGACTTGTTGGCTCACAACTTGTTTTAAATAAAGCCTCCAAATGACTGATGGCTCGATAGGCTGCGATTAGAATTTACACCCTGGATTTTAATTTGACCTTTGGAGCCTGACAGCCACAACATTTTGATGGGAACGCAGTTTACACATTCAACCGATCACTGCAGCCGCGTGCAGCGCGGGAGAGCGATCACGCCGTTCGCACTTGGGGTAATGCGCACACACGCTTAATATCATGAGACGTCACGATCGCAAACGGCGGGGTGCAGAAAGAAGCCTCGCGGCCATATGGAACATCCTATCCCCCGGGTGCTGCAATAACAAGCACCACATTTAGGTGGAAACGGCATCGGAGTGCGGTCTCCCAAGCAAGCGTGGTTCTCAAGCCTGGCATTTCAGAGCCTGCACACGGGCTCGGATTAAGGTCACTCTGGGCCCTGCGCCAGGGCCTATTTGTCTTATGGCGGCCCACCGTACTACCAATGGCTCAAGGTCCTGCTGCCACCCACCCCACGCACGCGTTTTTGCGCCTGTCCCGTGTAGGGTCCAGAGGCAATTACAGCCTCATGGCTTCTGGATAATGAATCGGGCCCTCACGGTGGCTGGGTCTCGCCGGGGGGTCTTGATCTCACACCTTAGGTCTGTGGCCAGCAGTGGGCTGTGCTGTTTGTCGGGGCTCCACGGTGCCTCTGAGATGGCCCCCCTTCACGTGACGGGTAATCCGGGCCTGCCTGCGTGATTTGTTGTTGTTGTTGTTGTTGTCGCTGCGCCCTCACACCGCTCGCTAAGCGCGAGGTGGTTGTGTAGAGGGTCGCCTCGGTAGACCTTTTCCAATGTGAAAGCATAGAGCACAGGGTCACACGTCTATCATAGAGCCAATAAACAGCAAGCGTGTTGTCATATATAATCTTAACACGGATTAAATCTACCGGGTAATACGTACATCGTCGTCATTTTTTAAAGCATTTTTTTTGTTGTTGTTAAAGTTATGTAATAAAAACCTTTTTTTTCTTCTCGTGTGGCATTTATTTTATATATATTTTTAAATTTTCTTTTAAACATCGACAGTAAAGGGGCTTTAGGTTTCATACAAGGGAAGCACAACGGACATGCCTTATGATCACACTGGAGACATCATATATTCATGCTATATCTACACCTAAAACAGCGGGAATGGGCTTTGGGCTGGCCAGGAACGACTGTGTGATCAGTCACCCCCGAGCAGGACGGCGGGAAAGAGGCCCGTGATCGAATAAACATCGGTAATGAAACAACAGAGATGTAGTCCCAAGCACACACAGCCATCATCATCATCAGCATCATCGCCACCGACGTGTCAACGGCGGGCGGGGAGGGGGGCAGCGTACGGCATGAGCACAAGGAACAGGGCTTGACGTGAACAACAAGGGAGCGTTTATATACAAAACACCAAACAGGAACGAGGCCTAGCGTCGTATACAGGTATAGGTGGGTGGGGTGGGGGGCGGGGGAGGCGCCTGTGAACGAGGAAGGGTATTATATTGTATCTACAGTGTCTCACTGAGCGGTTTGCTGTGCAGGAGAGGTCGGGGAGGGGTTGGGGACATCACATGGACGACGACGACGACGACACACAAACCGACGTTTTAACAGCGCCGCGCGAACTATGGGACCTGCGCTCCGCCGTGCGGTCCGCGGAGGAGATTCCACGCGGCGTGCCGCCGAGGAGAATGGCTTAGCGCCACGACTTTGAACATGCACACGAAACGAACAAAACGGACAAACAAAACAATTTTTGCGCACGCGTGGCGGGGCGAAGGTTTGGGGGGTCTAGGATGGGTGGGGGGGGGCTCGGAAGCAAGGGGGGGGGGGCAGGGTGGCGCAAAGGTGGGGCAGCTGCGGAGCGATCGGGTAGGGGTTGATGTCGCGTGGTACGGAGCTGGAAGGTGAGGTGAGAAACAGGAGGAGGAGGAGGATGAGGAGGGCTTTTGGTGGAGAATTAGCCCAAGCCTTAGTTGTGCACAAACATGAAACGAAGAAACAGACAACGACAACGATAATCGGCCGTTCGCCACTTAGTGGCGGTGGCGTCACCATGGCGCTTGTGCCAGCTTAGGTGCACCTCGAGGTACGAACATACACGCGCACGCACGCACGCACGTGGCCTGCGTGCCATGGTGAACTTTTGGATAAATATCCAGATGGTCGAGGAAAATATAGGCGTCAAGGTGACACCGTTGCTTGCTTGGCTAATAAGGCAAGGCGCAGCAGAGTTGTTTTTTTTTTGTTAAGGCGGGTTCACACCCCCCAGCGATCAGTTGCATATCGAACGAGTTTGTCGTGGACGTCTCTGCGACCGAGAGCGGTTTTGGGTTGCGCTACTGATCTGCCCGGGGTCGCGGCCTCGCCTCTAGGCAGGCGATTGACCTCTGCGTCTGCCTCCGAGTTCACCAGCAGCGAGGTGTCGCTAGGCACGCAGACACGCGGGACGAGCACACGTACGCACATGTAAACACACACACGCACTCACATGTAAACACACACACACACGCATAAGCAAACATACACACGCACGCATAAACAAACACACACACGCATAAACACACATTCATAAACACACACACACGCATAAACACACAAAACAAGACAAAGATCCCCGTGTAGCCTGTGACAGACTGTTGGGGCAAGTGCTGTTAGCGAGCACCTATGAAGGCCGGCAACACCACGCCCGGCCGCCTTGGTCTCTCCAGTGGCGATGTTTACACACCGCACTAGATACTCATTTGAGGCTGAGTCGACCTAGAGGAGGCCCAGGACCGATTCAGATAATTGTCACTGATTTGACCGTGAGCGGAAATTGAACTCGGGTCGCCAGGTTCGTAGCGCAGCACTAACAACTACGCTACCGCTACCCACAGACACACATAAACACATATTAACACACACATTAACACACACACATTAACACACATAAACACACCCATTAACACACACACATGAAGACACATGGACTTAAATAAATACACTTAAATAAACACACACACATGAATACACAAAAACACATTTAAATAAACACGCATAAACACACGTAAATAAACACACCGAAACAAACATACACACATAAACAAACACACACACATAAACACACACAAACAAATAAACACACATAAACACACCCAAACAACAGTAAAAGCCGCCATTCGCCACCAAGTAGCGGTGACGTCACCACGGCGCGTGTGCCAGGCTAGGTGCACCTTGAATTACACACAAAGTACATGAATTACAAACACAAAGACAGACACACAAAGACACACACACGCGTGTGCACAATGAGGAGCGTCTCTCTGGCAGGTGCCAGTGACGCGGAGCAGGGCAGCCCCTCCCCCCAGGGTGGCAGGACGCGCGTGAATTGATGATGAGAATGGGGGGGTGGGGGGCACAGGAGTTGGCAGGGAGTGGGGGCGTTCCGGGGCAAAAGGCAGAGGGACGGGGGAACACGACGAGGAAGGGCAGAGCAGGTGAAGGTCAGGGTGGGATCAAGATTGCCGTGTTCTGGCAAGCGGTGGGTGGTGGTGGTGGTGGTGTTGGTCTGGGAGAGACGGACACCGTTGACTTAAGCCGGAGTAGCTAAGCGGGGGGGGGGGGGGGGGTCATAATTCGCGAGGGGGGTCACTTCTTGCTGCCTAGGCTCGCGTCCACCTCCTCCTCTGGCTTGAGGGTGTGCCACTGGGCGATGGGCCGCCGAGGGTTTGCCAGCATGTCGGACCAGTGCCGCAGCTCCGTGCCGGACGCGTTGCAGCCCACGAAGAGCTTGCCGATGGCCTCGTTCTTGCCCAGCTTGTCGTAGTCCAGCACCGTGACCACCACCTGCACTTTCTGTGGATGGGGAGAGGAGGTGGAGGACGAGGTTAGCGCCCCTCTCGGCCGTGCGGACGGGATGGACTGAGGCGTGGGCGACGTTGTGGTCAAGCGTTGTGCGTTCTGGAGCGTTGAAGTTGGGGACGGTGGTGGTGGTGGTGGCGGTGGTGGTGGTGGTAGCGGTGGTGGTGGCGGTGGTGGCGGCGGTGGTGGTGGTGGCGGTGGTGGTGGTGGTGGCGGTGGTGGTGGCGGTGGCGGTGGTGGTGGCGGTGGCGGTGGCGGTGGTGTGGCGGTGGCGGTGGAGGTGGTGGTGGTGGTGGCGGTGGTGGTGGTGGCGGTGGCGGTGGTGGCGGTGGTGGTGGCGGCGGTGGCGGTGGTGGTGGTGGTGGTAGTGGCGGTGGCGGTGGTGGCGGTGGTGGCGGTGGTGGCGGCGGTGGCGGTGGTGGCGGCGGTGGTGGCGGTGGTGGTGGTGGCGGCGGTGGTGGCGGCGGTGGCGGTGGTGGCGGCGGTGGTGGTGGTGGCGGTGGTAGTAGCGGTGGTGGTGGTGGCTGGGCAGGTTAGGGATGGAGATCTGTACGCGGAGACGCCGGTGCAAGTTGGAGCGCAACGCGGTTGACTGCCTGTGAATGTGTCTGTGGGGTGTGCGCGTGCTGACTGTGTGTGTGGGGTGTTGACTGTGTGTGTGTGTAGGGTGCTGACTGTGTGTGTGTGTAGGGTGCTGACTGTGTGTGTCGGGTGCTGAGTGTGTGGATGTGTGTTGGGTGCTGACTGTATATGTGCGCTGACCGTGTGAATGTGTATGCAGACTGTGCGTGTGTGTCTTTGTTGAATACGAGTGCAAAATGTTGTGGCTTAGCCAAATCTAAAATTGTGGAGGTGCTGTCCAGACACCCACTTACAGCCACAGTGACTGTGGCCCAGACGTGGGTCGTGGGGTTACGCTGGTTGGGTAGCAGCAGTGAAGAGGGATGGGCAGCAACACATTGTGAAGAAAAATGATTACATGGCCAAAAGCTGTGTGCGGCGAGGCACACGCCTGTAATTCTGTTCTCGTGTATGACAGCAACGCGCTCAGAGGCTGATTGCTAATGTCCAAGTCTGGTAGCCACGATAGGTCATCGAGAGAGAGAGAGAGAGAGTTCGGGTCGTATTGCTTGCTATTCCCTCTTCATTGAAAGAGCACAGACTACATCAGTTTACTATTTGGTCGATAGTTTGGGTTGCATGGCCAGAGTCGCATTGTGGCTCGTGTCTTTAATTATACATTTATGAAGGAGATGTGTGCATCGGCCTGTCAATGTTCTTCTGACAGCGGTGTTTTTTAGGAGGAATGTCAAAGCCAGGCAGTTGTGATGTTTGGGTCTCAAATGAGGAGTTCATTCCGGACACCCACGTTGTTAACATCTCGCCACCGTGGCACCGACGGGGTTTTGCTTGGACCGTAAGGGTGCCACGGTGGCTAGGAGATGTTAACTACCTCGCCTGGTAGACAGAAGGTCGTGGGTTCGATTCCGACTGAGACCCAAATATTCAACAGGTGTCATTCGGTAAAGTCACGTAGATAGGTTAAAAGAAAATAACAAAAAACTACAACGTTTCGATCGCAACACAAGCAATCGTCATCAGAAGATGGAGACAACGCTTGCTTGTGTTGCGATCGAAACGTCGTAGATTTTTGTTATCTTGTTATTTTCTTTTAACCTATCTACGTGACTTTACCAAAAGACCCAATAATATGAATTCCTGCAGTCACGAAAGCTTTAAGTCAAGATGACACTTGTTGTAAATTTGGAGTTTGCATGCTTTACTCGTCGTCCTGTTGATTTTTCTCCGGATCCTTCGGTTTTCCCTCCACATTATGAAACATGCGTTCAGAGTATTTGGCTGCTATAAATTTCAACGTAACCCACTTTCGTTGAGCTATCATTTGTGGCGAGGTCACTTGTGAAAAATATCTATATAGCTCAGTGGGCCTTACCTCGTAAAATAAAATATACTTAATAGTTTAGTTTTCATAAGCTGGCGTTGCCAGTGAACTGCTAACAGTTTAGTTTTTAGTTCCACTCTGTTCGCCAGCGTTATTGCGGATCTTTGAATCCAGATATGAGCATTAAGTGCTAGACGCCTGTGGCCAACGTTCTGGATGACTGATGGGTGCTTCGCGTAAGATATATTACGTGTGCGAGACTTATAAATTGCAGAGTTATTTAAATAGCCAGCAGATGGCAGTACAGAAAGTACAACAATGATTAATTAAATAGGTAAATGAATCTGCTTTGGCATTGAAATAAAATAAAACAATGTCGTGCCAACAACCAATGGGCTTTCCGGAGTAATGTTGTTCAGTCGCATTTATTTAAACTTTGGAAACGCTGGAGAGGTTTTAACTTTGATCAATCTCGTCAGCATGGCATGGCCTGTGGAATTAAAGGCCGGATATTAGAATCAATTGCCATCCATGGACACTCTGTAGCTCCAAGTCACATTGGACAGAATGCAACGTGGAGTTTGCTGACCCGTGTGGACAGTGTACAGCCCCCTGTCTCAATACACTGCTGGAGAATGTATTTGACCATACTTCACCACGCCGGTCAGTGAGGGCTGGTGAAAGCAGGGTGATTAGATAATGGAGCATAGTACAGTACATCTATGGATTTTGCGGGACTGCCCGCTGTCGGCAGAGCACTGCCCTCAAGTAGCCAAGAACACCTGTTTTAAGCAGGGCTGTCGACAATCCAAGCTCTAACCAGGCTCAAAGCTGCTTAGCTTCTGGGATCTGACGAGGCTGAGCACATCCCAGGTGATAGACATTCTCCGGGTTCTCCGGTTTTCCCCTCGACGTTTAGAATCAACGTGCATTTAGAGTATTTGACTGATATCAATGTCCACGTGAATAAGCCACTTCGTTCAGCTATCATTTGTGGCCAGGCCGCTTCTGAAAAAGAGCTACGTAGCTCAGTGGGCCTTACCTGTTAAAATAAAAAAAATTGTAGTTTAGTTATAGATACACTTCTCAATACGTGTGGGTTTTCTCTAGATGTTCCAGTGTTCTCCTACCCCCCAAACCGTTTTTGATAAGGAATTGGCTGAACATGCCAAGCAGGCCCTGGTGAAAATGTCATGGGACCATGTGAGGTTTTCCAGGACAGATTCGATTTATTCTAATAAAAGTTGCCTGCGTAATGGCTTCTTCCTACATGAAATGTAGACATTAGCATCCGATTATTTGCACAGGCAGATCTCTCAGTCGGTGGTGTGTAAGGGAGCAAGAGGGCGGGACGTCAGCTGAAGTCGGAGCTCACGTTTGCGGGATGCGTCACTGCTGAATGAAGTTGTACAAACGAGTGGATTTGGACGATAAAAAGTGGGAAAGGAACCAAGGGAGAATTTGCAATGTCCAGCTGGGATATAGAATCATTTGCTACACCAAGATCTAGATATAAAAATATATATATTCTTCACATTTGTGGTGGATATAATTTTTGTATTACATTGAAGTGTTTATAAATTACATAGAAATTTAGTAAAAACAAACACCATGAATACGACTGGTTTCGCCTGCCGTAATTTTTCCTGTTATTGCAACATGTTTACTGGTGCTTCAAATGTTACCCTATTTATAACCTTATTTGTTGCTATGGTGCCTTAGGGTTGTGCAATGATATTTTAATACCAGCATGTTTTTCAGGCAGGACCAAACCTTTTTTTTTATCCTGCTGTAATGTGGAATTGCATAATAAATACATAAAAATGAGCAGCGGTTATAATTAAATTTGTGTATTAAACCACACGGGATATCTAATTTACATAATTGGCTACAATGGGACCCCACAGAAAGCGTTTATAATTAGGGTCGTGTGCGGGTCACCCTGTCAAGGTCACGGGAGTCACGCGTTAGGAGCTCTGTGCGCCGTGATTAATGTTTATACATTTTCCCGACAAAGGGCCGTACTCACATGCACGCGTGTGCGCGCGCCGCATTTACTGGCACGCACAAGTGTCACGGTCGGCATTGCCGGTGCTCTCTCAGCAACATCCTCGTGGCTCTCGTAATTAATGAGTTCTGCCGCTGCGGCGGGCTTAATGATGTGTTTTTCTTTATTCCAAATCTGCGTAATTGTTAGCTGGAATCGCCGCGCCGCGGTCGACAGAGTGGCTGCGTGGTTAACCCCAACGAAACGAGTTTGATTACCGGTCACGGCTGATATCGATGGCGAGTGATACCTCACACAGTTGTGCTCCCCCCCCCCCACCCCGAACCTCTCCCACTTGCCCAGCCCGCACTGTTCAGTGTGGTGAAGTATGGTAAGAATAAACATGACTAACATAGCCCGAGGTAGGAGTCTAGCGGTGGCTTGGCAAAGATTGATAATTGTTTTTTTACCCTTTTATCTGGCAACACAACTGACACCTTTTTTTTACAAGGAGTCATGTTTGCATAGACCACAATACCTGCAGTCATAATGCAAACAAAAAACATAACTCTGATAATGTATGCACTGTCCTTGAAGTTGATTGGTCCACACCCGAGACAGCTTTCCTTAGAGCCTAGTCTCACATGGTGTTGGACCACATGACGCCAAAAGGCACACAACTCAAAGACAATGCACCATCAGAGTATGAGAGCTCGGGGTAAGCATTTACACCATTGGATTATGACTGCAGGTTTTGTGGTCTATGCAAACATGACTCCTTGTAAAAAAAGGTGTCAGTTTTGTTGCCAGATAAAAGGGTAAAAAACCAATTATCATATTTTTTACTGGCAAATGGTTCCAATGGTGTTGGCAAAGATTGTTATTTATTATTTATGAGTTTACGTATTCATACTCTTTGGTTCTTTCGGTAAAGTCACGTAGGTAGAAAATAAAATAAATAAAATCACGACGTTTCGATCGCAACACAAGCGACCGTCATCAGGTGGAACAGACACAGCAGGAGAACTGCTGATGTAGGAGAAAGAGCTGCTGCAACAAGAGTTTACATCGTATTTTGGTGGGCTCAACCCAGTGGTAATCACCCACGTGACTTTACCGAAAGAACCAAAGAGTATGGATCTCTGCAGTGACGAAAACATCACATCTGGTTTATGTATTGTTGTTAAGTCGCTTGGTACTGTGGTTTGAGGGTTTGCCTAGCAATTGTCGTCTTGCGTATAGTCTTGCAGATAGGCAAATCTGGGTTGCTAAAATTTGAACCTCTTTGTGGGAGGTCAGCAGTGGATAATTTTTAGCAATGTTGGGCTCCCCACCACGAACTCAGGGTCATTGCTGGTGACGAGTGTGTCACTGTTGTGCTCATGCGCTTGTTTTATACATCTAGCCAAAGAAAATATTCCACAAAGTCTGTAATTCCAGTTATCAATTTCAATTGTATATACAGTTATTCCAGAAACAATATATAAGATAATAGGCTGGGCCCATGTGTTTTTCGGGGTATCTGAGTTTTAATAAATTTCGGGCGGAAATGAGACAATTTTTTGACGAAAGAGACTGAGCTCAATATCTGTGCAAACTCTGCCGTTTAAGTCGACACATTAAGAAGGCACAATTTGTGTATGCAATCAGATCTGTCATTCACTCTGCAAGTTGATTTCTGTTTTTTAACACTTCACGACGGACGTGACACTCTTTTTTAAAATTTGTTGACAGTCCAACCAAGATATTGAACACCACGCTGGTAACGCTTCCAAAGGTTGTTTCCCTACTCAAATGAGTGGCTAACATGCAAACAAAAACATGGTCTGGTCATATATGCACTGCCTTTCAAACTGATTGGTCCAGCATGTTTTTTGTGTGCATATTCACCACAAGTATGTGTGGTTAATGCAGACATGATTCCTTGCAAAATAATAAAGAATGTACGTACCTATGTGAATTCACTAGTCGATATGAAGGCCTTCCCCGCACAGTCATTTGGATTGTTTAACCATACTTCGCCGTGTTGGTCAGTGTGGCTGGGTGAAGGGGAAACCTAGCAGCTGTTATGATATCACTGGCCACTCAAATTGGCCGTAGCCGGGAATCAAACTCAGGATCACTTGGTCCATAATGCTGTGCACTACCACTCCACCCAGGTATTGCATACTGCAGTATCACAATATATATAATATTAATAATAATCATATCACACACTGATAAACAGTAATATTCTGCACGCCCATGCTGTACGTACGTTCATGACTGCATGGACGCGGAACGGTGGCGCTCATTGCACGATGAACCTGTTGACCTAAGTGTGCTTCCTGGACAGGGCTGTGAACATCCCTTCACCAAGTAGCGCTGACCAGAGTGGTGAAGTATGGTCACAACAAAGAAAACTAACCTGCATGAGGCCATCGGCGGTTGAATGAAAAACGGCTGGAATTTTTTTTTTTTTAGTATAATTTACCAATTTGCTTGATTTTCACACATTAGCCAAAGATTATACTCCTGCATCCGTGCATTAATGTGTGGGCATGTAATTGGTGTATTAATTCAATTCAAAACATTTTGGTACAAAATACTAATAATAATTACACGCTAATTGACAAACGCTCATAAAGTGAGCACCCAACGAATCTAACATGAAAAATGTGATTAAGAACAATTGATCGTAATTGATTAAACGCTACAAGGATCATTGCTGGATCTGGTCGAGGCAGCGTTCTTTAAGAACCCTCAAGCTCGTCAACATTTAATTGTTGCTTTAATGAGATTTTGTTGGAGACGCAAAGATTGCTTTTGCCCTCATTTGCATTCGGCACATCATGGCCAGTTGCGCCGAATGTGGGCCACGTCCTTTGTTTAGAAACCCCCAAAAAATAAGCCACTTAAGGAGGTGGACAGGTGAGGGCAGGGCGGCCGCTAGCAGCATGCTGGGGGAGGCCAGCCCTGCACCACCAAATGTCTCTTTGGGGCCCCGACACCAAGGTCACTTTTTCTTAGCGGTGTATCATCAACTGTTATTGTGCCCCCCCACCCACCCACAGGTCGACTGCCCCCCCCCCCAGCCGATCCGAGAGGAGCTGGAGCCAGGCCTGCCAGGTGGTTGGGTGGCTTAGGGGTCAGAGCATTGAGCTGGCACTGGGCTCTCAAGGAGAGCGAGTTTGATGGTCTCAGCATGATTGCCTATGACTGCACACTAACAAATGGCCCGCTGTATATGCTTGCACTCTTCACTCGTTCACTCTTTGTCATATGATTGGCAAGATTTCAGCTCTGAGACTTTAAAATGTGGTTTAATTGCCGCGCGGCGAACAGCTCTCTGCGGCAAGGTGTCTGGGAAAGTGTAGCATCTTCAGTGTGAATAGCAGAGATCCCTCGATGGGATCTCAGATGTAGTTCTGTGATTTCCCTTTCTGCGGTCCGTTCCCTAATATGGGGTGATACAGGGCTCTTGAGAAGCTCTGAATGAAACATTCAGCTCACGACGTGTAGCTAATAGCAGCATTTAGAACAAAAGTTCGAAAAGGGCATTTTGTTAAGTGAATAAAAACACACCGTTTCTCCATTGATCCCTTACTTAGTCAGGAAAGCCTCAACTGAGCCCCAAGCCTCCTTTGTGGCAACGCTCTGCTTTGCTTGGGAAGTTTTGCTGATCTCCTACCGCGGTGTTTTGCGGTACACAGAGAAAGCTGGTTCACATGGGGGAAACGGTACAATATCCACACAGATGGGGGTGGTCTGGCAGGCTACTCGCAGTGCCGCCTTCTCTCGGCCACCGCAGCGTCTCGGGGGGAACGGACGCCCTCCGTGCCATCTCTTCCGACGCACCTCTCGATCGCCGGCCGAGGGCACGTCCCCGCCATACGCTCCTCCACCCGCAGGGAGAGAAGACACGGACGGTGCACGGTGGGTCCTCCTTACCTGGATCTGCTCGAAGGGAACCTCGAAGCTGAAGGACTCGTTGTAGTACGGGTTGAGCGTGTTCTTCTTGATGGTCGTCTTCTTTTTCTTGAGTCGCTTGCCATTCTGCATCAGGTGAATCTTGACATATGGGTCTGCGCACAGGTGAGAGAAGGCGTTGGGGTTGGCTTTGCGCGAGCGCGTAACCAGGGCAGGGGAGGCAAGCGGCCAGGGCTGCTTGGGGTACAACTCGCACAACCGCTCGAGCTTGCAACAGCGGCGCAATAATCAGTGCAATATATCGGACGTGGTAGGTATAAACACACGCACAATCTCATCGGGTATGGAAAGCTAAGCTTCCGAGATTTTACGAGGCCTAACATCCAGCAGTGGATAGGCATTGGCTGATGAGGATGATGATGATGATGGCAGTTAAGCTAAGGACGTGAAGACCTCATGAATCTCGACAGCCTTTCAGGAGGAGTGACTGAACTGCTGCCAAAAATACGGCGGGCCATCATCTCATGGAAGGAATTTCTACTCTTAGTTATTTCGGTAAAGTCACGTGGGTAAAAAATGAAATTAAAATGAATAAAAATAAAATAATAAAAATCACGACGTTTCGGAGGCAACACAAGTCTCCGTCATCAGGTGGGACCGTCACAGCTAGATTTGCTGTATCAAGTGATACAAGTGATCAAGTGATACAAGTGATACAGCAAATCTAGCTGTGACGGTCCCACCTGATGACGGAGACTTGTGTTGCCTCCGAAACGTCGTGATTTTTATTATTTTATTTTTATTAATTTTAATTTCATTTTTTACCTACGTGACTTTACCGAAAAAACTAAGAGTATGAATCCTTGCAGTCACGAAAGCTTCAAATCTATAAGGAATTTCTAGTTTTCTAACATTACTTAACACCTCATATAATTCACGTGAAAATAACGTACTGTACGTATATAAAATAGGAACAAATTTACAGTTGTGTATCAGTCAACTGCTGGATGAATGCCTCCCCACATTGTGTCAGCCATGGCGACTGATTGACGAGTACTTCACGAAGCTGGCCTGTGCGGGTTTGTGAAGGAGGTCATTCCAGGATCGGTTCACACAATCACTGGCCACTAATCTCATCTAAATTTAGCCATACCTGCACGTTGAACTCAGGTGGCCGGGTTCACAATGCTAACCACTGCTCTCTCTCTCTCTACCAAGATCATTTATATGCCGGTGCATACATTTATTTGGCGCATAGCAAACATGAAAATGTGGGCCATTTTAGCACCATTATCAACGCAAACAAATGTAATGCACATACGTATAGGCCTACTGTAAAGTGCAAATGTATTTGCGCTGGTGATTAAAACCTGGTCACCGGTTGTCATAGGCACAACAAACTCGATATTGATATAGCTTGGATGACACTTTGTGTGTGTAGGACACGTGTTCATTATGAACTATACAAATTTCAACTATTTTTTTTATTTTACCAGGTAAGGCCCACTGAGCTCTATAGCTATTGTATATATGAAATATATAGCGAAATGATAGTTCAACTTATCACGTGGAAATGTATCACAGCCAACTACTCCAGACACATGTTGATTCTAAATGTGGAGGGAAACAACGGAGGACCCGAAAAAAAACCCATAGGTGACCACCACGGAGAGAACATACAAACTCCAAATATACAGCAGGTGTCAGGGTCGGGATCAAACCCACAACCTCCTGCATACCAGGCGAGGAAGTTAACATCTCGCCATCGCAGCGCCCACTTTCATTAAAAGACTTAGTCAAATATAGAAGATAGCCATTTCTTTGTTGCAGATACTGAACAAATCCTCTGATATGCTTTGATACGGAGAAACATTATTGCAGATCCCGTAATCTGTGGGGTTTCCCGTGAAGCTACCACTCTCATCCGCAGCGATAAAGGGTCACGGATAAATCCCGCGGATACATCGGATGAAGTTGCTGCTATGCATTGTGGCTAAAATCATGGATAACCACGAATAATAGGAATACATAGGGCGCGGATAATAGGAGTTTCCGTGGACTCTTCAGCTGTTGCGGGTAAGAGGAGTTATGGGTAACGGCCGTTGATGTGAGGAGTTGTGCTGTGCGTTCCTCCTGCATATTCCTTTATTTACACTTTTGTTCATGAGGAAAAGACGTTAATGTCCGTGAGATATGACTTGTACAGTCTAAGTTTCCTCACTGCGGTGTGCCTGCCAGATCCTTTTAACTGCAGGGCAGCCCAACCGACAGACAGGGTCACGTGACACTCACCACTCACTCATCAGATTCTCATCCACACCACCAGACAGCACTAATCACTTACAACTCACTAGACACTCACAAGTCATATATGTTAAAGCCACATTGTGATGTATTGCAGTTCCATCACAAAGTAGTGGTTTATGTATTGTCTTTATATATGTATACGTTTAAAGAAGATAACTTTCAGCAAATCAATTTCTTGACAGATCATCCAATGCACCTGTTTTTGTCAAAAGATGCCACCGTAATAATGCGTTCTCAAACTGCCTGGCATTTCTCTCCTTTTTTCAAAGGGCATTGCCTGAAAAGTTAGCGCCAGTCAAAAGACTCACGAAAACAACACCGACCAGAACGGAACAATAAGACCGGATCACGGTGCAGGTTTGTTACACACAAAAACGTTGAATGAGCACGCTGGCCTCCGTGCGTATGTAAAAAAAACCCCCATCAGCACTTCCTAAACAAGTGCATTGTGGGCATCTTATCTTCGATCACCGTCAAACATAATCTTAGCACAACTGAGAGCATCCGGTCCACAGTTGCCTATCCCTGCATCGCCGCTGTTGTCAATTGGTTACATTCGCTCATTTATTTCGATGGTGATATAACCGAAAAAGACCACAATGCACTTGTTAATGAAATTCTGCAGTTTTTTTTGCAATAATGCACATAAGGCTGTGTGCTTTTTACACATTTTTGCAACTCGTTTGCATCTTAACGTTGGTTTAGCATACACTGTATCGTTATAGATCAATAGGTCTCATTCACACGATAGTGAATATTCAATTTTCATCCAAATTGTGGCAAAAACACCTCCATTACCTAAAAGAGTGGAGGAAAATCGTCAAGGCAATGCGTGTTCTTGCCGTTCTGTAACGACGCGCATCAGGCCCAAAGTGTCTTTGTGCTCAAATCACACAACGCAGACTCCCGCAAGAAATGTGGCAGCACTGTCAAAGGCTGGTATTTACCGAGCATGACGGCAATGCATCAGCTACGAATTGGTCCCAAGCAGGCGGATTTCTCCGCGTTGCTACAATGACATTTGATGAACAGAAAATGTTCTGTGCTGTTCGAATAATTGACTATTGCAAACTATTTTTCCCAAATACATGACATTCTCTGTGTCACCTTTCATTATAAAAAAGGCAGTCAAGAGGTTTTGATGGCAGGATATGAAAAGTTAAAAATACTCGCATGCCCGTATTTTATTTGTTAGTCATTGCTAACATCAGTTTGTCTTCTGTGATGTAAGAAGTTGATATAATTTACTACGTGAAGTTCACTGATTCTCAAGGCTGTTTAAGAAAGTGTTCTACTTTGGATGTTTACCTAATTAGTTGGTGAATATTTATATTTGATTGGAAGTGCAAAGGAACCAGAGTTCCTGGCGAAATCCCATCCTGCCGAGCTGTCACCGGCCCAAATATATAAAACGATTCTATATCGTCAATGTCAAGATTTACAAAAGCAAACTCGATATGCAGTCCATTCACTGGTGGCCGGGTTGAGGCCGTCAACGCTCTAAATATGAGAACCTGATTCGATCAAAGGTGCATGCGTCGATTCAAATCCAGGATTTCAGAGGCACCAGCAAAAATGTTGAGGGCTGCCATCCTCTTCATTATTTTTTAATGATTATAGTTATTTATAAATACTTCTGCAAAACATCCGTGCCACGTGCATTTCTCCATCTTTAATAATGCCACGACCATAAATCTTATAAAGGCAAGGCAAAGACAAAGGTCCCCCGTATAGCCTTAACACACTGTTGGGGCAAGTGATGTAAGCGAGCACCTATAAAGGCCAGAACGGCACACGAGGGGGTGGGTGGCCAGCACCACGCACAGCCGCCTTTGTCTCCCGAGTGGTAATGTTCTTACGCACCGCACCAGGTACTAATTTGAGGCCGAGTCGACCTAGGGGAGGCCCAGGACCGGTTCAGATAATCGTCACCGATGTTGGCCGTGAGCGGGAATCGAACTCGGGACGCCAGGTTCGCAGCGCAGCGTAGCGCTGACCGCCACCCCACCGCTCACACGTCCTAACAAGCAGCTGCGGACTTTCACCACGCCACGTGGCCCAATCTTCCTGATGCAATTCTTGCCATCTCAGGGAATATCCATTGCGAAGAAACTCCGAACAAATTCTCGCCTTGCGGCAGAGATGCTCCCGTTGACTTGTTCATCTGCGCAGGTAGCAGAGTGAATCGTGAGCCGCTGTTTGCAGCTCGGCACTTCTTCGCCGCCTGGGAAATTGCCGCCTCCCTAGAGCTGCCACTTTGCCGCCGCTGTTCTTTCTTCGCGCACGCGGCGTGCTTCAGACAACTACTGGGGTAATAAGCGGGGCGCGCCGGATCTACACATCCAGAGGTCGCCGGTTCGATTCCATCTCCCAGAGAGGCAGTTTGAAACAATGGGGCAACTGCACAACATTCACGGTGCGTGCGCATTGCCCTATCTTCCGACACGTTTGGCTGAGCGTGAAAGAGTAAGGAACGGCGGATAACCCTCTCGATGGGGGCTTCGTTCAGCTCCCCCGAGTGGAGGTCCTTCCGCCAGGAGCCGTGTGAGCACGAAATTTCGGGGCTGCGTCTTTAACCCGTCGCATCCAAATGCCGCGTGCCAGAAACGAGGTTTCTCAGAGACGCGCGCGAAGCGGACGTTGAAGATGTGTGCTCACCTCGACCCTCGCAGACGATCGCGGGTGAATCCCATCAAGCTCTTGTGGCCCTTTCTGCGTGTTTTCTACATCTCGGCGTTGCACCTCTTTGAGAAGCCCTACAACTGATAGGCTAATTACCTTCGGTCATCGATGTATGAGTAGCACAGTAGTTGACAAAAGCAACGTTCTCCATTTCTCCTTTGAGCATCTGTGTGTTTCGCACGATTTTCGAATTCTCATTTTTTTTTGCTACAATCGGCAAGCTTCATGTGAATGACTCGAGGATCCTATTCACGTGCTGGTGATTATTTATTGACGTACAGTAGGGGCATGAAATATTACATTCCATCGCCGGACTAAAGGATGCCAGAAGACTCCGCGCAATACATTTCAGAAATGTTACGGCACAAACGTGCTGTTCCGCTCTTTGTAAGGGATGTCCTTTCCGCTGACATTTGGAGGTACGGTGCGCTGCGACTGCGAATGCTCGCGGACAAATCCAGCGCCATAGCGGGTGCGTGGCACCAAATCCGATCTGTGAGAAAAAAAACAGTGGCCAAACCCGGACAACCTCTGCAGAGATGGAGCACCGAGATCGGGTCGTGTGCAAGAGCACGATGGATTCATGGAATGGCAGGACCGTGAGTGACGGTGAACATCGGGGGAGGCATTCAGCCAGCAGCGAATGTAAGAGGGCCTGTTGATGATGATGGTGGTGGTGGTGGCCAGGTAGGATTGGCAGGGTATGGTGGCACAATGCCTGCTCTCCCGAGCTTTGTAGGGAGGGTTAGCGGGTCGTACGGAGATCACGGTGCTGAGCAACACAGCTGCCAGAAGTCCTACAAGCACAGAAACAGTCCCTGCCACGTCCAAGACATTTTTTAAAATCAAGAATTAGTTTTTAAGTAGACTGTTCAAGGCATTGCCACTTCACTTTGGGAGATTACATATTCCAGACACTTGGCCTCAGGGAATTACTGTGCAAATTTACCCAGCTATTCTTTGGCCATGATATACTTGCGGTGAAACTTTGCTGTAGGAGTTCAATGTTTTTTTTTATTGAAATAAACTACCATCATATTTAGCCGCAAGCAAAGGTTAAATATGAAAGGTTGGCAAATTAAATGTGCCCTTTTACCACACTGTCACTTCTACATAATTTGTCACGTGACTAATTTGGGAAACTCTCTCGGTGTTTAAAACATTGTTGTTGTTGTGTTTTGGCTATTAATACAATGTCTGAGGGTTAGGCATAATATTTCAATATTTGTGTGACACATCTAGCTGCGAGCTCTCTCAACTTTAGCATTGCAACCCTAATCGAGCAACCATGACCAGTCCTCATCTCTGAACTTTACTTTTTTAAGCCGCACTCCGAAGCCTTGAACCTTTTCCCGTGACATATGACCTTAAGCGCCAACCTTCGAAGAGGAAAATTAAAATATGATGTAAAGAACTGTTTTTGCAGTCATCATTAACAATCAGCGTCTTATGGCTGAGACGTATACGGTAATGAGTTCACATTTTGAGCAATGACCATTTTTCAGTAACAAATGATGGATGGGTGACAGATTGTGAGTAATTCCATGGTGGGGCCGTTGAGGAGAGTTTGACATAAAAAAAAATCTGTTTGGGATCAACGCCTTTTGTTCAGAAGTTATTACATGATAAGACATTCAAGCCGAATGTGTCTCCCTACTGCGGACACTCCATAAAGTGATACAAATTTTATCGACTCTCGAGGGATGATGATGATGAGGCGAATCGATTCCCCCCCCCCCCGTCGTTTTCTCGTGAGCTGAACGGCTCTGGCGCAGTTCGACACGGCGGAGAGAATACGGCAATTATAAATAAATGACATTGACAGATTTAAATTAAAAATATATAAATAAAATAATATCTCCAGAAATGGAAGTTGTAAATTATAGGGAGCACTTTAATGTCAAGCCGGATTAAATATTTTGAGGCCCAAGGCCAAACATAAAATGGACGCTTCTTTATCTCGAACGCAGATATATTGCACCCTAATGGCAAAATAATAAATCATGTTGAACATTAAACAACAAAAGTTCGAATTCATAATAAAGTTTTGAGTCGCGAAAGCCTACGCGTTAAATTTAATTCGACGTTTGTAAATTTCTGTTTGAGTTCCTGCATCCACAACTTCGCAGGACGTGAATGATTGTTGTCTTCTGCAAACTGCTGGCTCTGCCGTGGAAATGTGGACTTGCCGCAGGGCATTAATCGAGATGAACACCACCCCAATCTCAATTGAGCATGAGAACACTTCTAGTTCTGTTTTGCGATAAAACTGGAAATCAGCTGTCTACTATTCCCTCACGATGCACTTGAGCTCATTTTACTCTCGTGCCTGAACTCGCTTCGCCATCTGACCTGAACAATTCTGACACTGGCCGTTGTGTTCGGTTTGTAAGAACAACACAACCAGGACAACATCAGCTTCTCATTTTAACTGCCATCTGATTTTTACTCTCATACTGTCTGGGGATTTTTTTTACAGATAATGACTTACCTCCCCCAATTCTACCACAGTTTGGCCTCCTACCCCACCTCACACAGACATCCAACGAACTCCCTCTGTTCCTGGTATCCTGGTCCGACCACTCCCCACCAACCCCATCCACCACCGCTACACCCTCTCCTGCCACCCTTCGCCAACTCTCTTTGTCCCGATGCTCTACCCCCATGCTTGTTCGTTTTTCGCAGCTCTGTGTCCACGTGTGACGAGACCGAGAGGGAGGCAGGCCGAGCCTAAAGCCCGAACCCCCCACGAGGTCTCCGTCAAACGGATTCGATGCACATCAGCCGACGTTCCGTTTGCATTCGAACTTACCGCCTTCGGCGTGACCGCCAAGTCGAGAGGCCAAACGCACGATGCGCTCGCGCGAGGGTCGCGGGGCTCACCGGAAAGACCACCAACGTCCATCTTCTTCAGGTTCTTAGCCTCGAGGACGACGATGGTGAGCTTTCCGGCCGTGGGGACGTAGCGCAGGGAGATGCAGATGTCACCAAGTTTCTCTTGCTGCAAGCGTTCACGCGCGCAGACAGAAGACAGAGATCCCCACCCCCCCTTTGAGCCTCGACAGACTTTTGGGGCAAGCGAGCACCTACGAAAGGTCGGTGCGGCACACGAGGGGGTCGCTGGCCGCCTTTCAATCACCCATGTGCTACTGCAGAGGTGTATGGATGTTAACAGGATGCACACCTTTGATACAGTGATTTGGTCATGAAGACACACGCACGCGCACAAGACAAAGGTCTTCCATTAAGTGTGATGAACTGTAGTGGCGAGTGCTTTTAGTGAACATCTATCAAGGCTGGCATTAATTTATCATGCCCATCTGCCTTTACCTTCCCAGTATTGATACTGGTTGAACAAACTTGAACCTGAAAAGAGATTCATCTTCTTGGTTCTTTCGGTAAAGTCACGTAGAAGGGAAATAAGCAGGTCTGTCGGGAAGACAGCGTCAGACGCTGTCTTCCCGACAGACCTGTTCTTCACCTGAGGACGGCTGCTTGCGTTGTGGCCGAAACGTCGTGAGAATTGTATTTTATTATGTTTTATTTTTATTATTTTATTATTTACATTCTACGTGACTTTACCGAAAGAACAAGAAGATGAATCCCTGCAGTCACGAAAGCTTTAAATCGAAAACTAAAAAGAGATATTCTGATGAACACACCAGTGATGAAGAACAACCACTTCACAATAAGAATATATGTTAATACTGGAGTAATCCGATGAGCTGTAACGCTCTTTTTCACAGATGTCCAATAGGGGCATGGGGTCAGAAAGTTCCACCAACAGGCAATACAAAAACACAATAGGAGTGCAAAGTTTAGGACAGATAAACAACAAAAAACGATCTTAGTCATCATAGCTGTCAACCCATACGGTTTACCCGTATTCTTGTACAAGGGAATTGCGTTTTCGGGGTCCATACTGCGTATTTGTTTGTGTTTCTCACTTGTGATGGGACTTTGTAGGATAAACGTTGAGATTTATAAGGGCACGGGGTGACCAATAAGGTTTGACCTGGTCTGATAAAGGGTTAACAGGTATGTGTCATAGAGACTTTAGTGGCGAATGCTGTTGGATCGTAGACACACACAGACACACACAGACACATTAAGAAGGGGTCGCGTGCTGAGCTCCACTCACTGTGGTTACAATAACAAGAACATTTTTTCCCAGAAAAGCCTTCCTGATTTTAGGATCCACTTACATACTCAATGATTCCCACGTGGCGTGTAATCAGAGTATCAAGGGAAATAATTGGAGCATGTGACGGGGATAACACTTAGAAATCCAAGGACGATAGGTCAGCAATCACGAGTAAGATTACATGCAAAAGGGCATTTCTAGACGGCCAAAGGGAATGACTGCGACCATTGTATCGGTCCTCCCATCATGCCCTGCATGTCACGTGACATCACCCATTGCGACTGCGAAATTCACGTTTCCGTCTGATGCGTTTCTCGTCGTTTACGGAAAGTGTTAGAAATGGATTACTGTCACCAATCTGGTTGGCACCCTGTCATCTACAAGCACTGGATTACAGACAGGTGCCACTACGCCAGTATTTAGGAAAAAATTCTCTTGGGGTTTTTGTCACACAGCGCAACCGCCAATGCAATTCAAGCAACGGTGGCTCACAAGTGACGACATCACATTTACACCCTCTATTTAAGATCGAAGCAGGAGGATTTCTCCACTAATCTGGCTGTCGCCTGTTGACGATTGTTGTAATTACTGGCGAAACGTCGTAATCGAATTGCAAATGTTGTGTGTTTACTCTCCCAACACAACGGTGTTGTTGTGCTCGTAACGAATTGGCACGTTTTGTTTACGTGGCAAACCTTACTAATTGGTGGTGTCGGGTGATAGCGGGTTTAACGACACATTTATATTCACGTGATCAAACCCAAAAAAACCTGTGCTATGATGGGTGCCCTGTTTGCAAATATTTAAGGGATAACGTCTGTATGAGTTGTGCTCCTTTTGTCGTCATCTGGTCCAACACCATGTAAGACTAGGCTCTAAGAAAAGCTGTCTCGGGTGTGGACCAATCAATTTCAAGGACAGTGCATTCATTTTCAGAGTTGTGTTTTTTTGTTTGCATTTTGACCGCAATTGTTGTGGTTAATGCAAACACGATCCCTTGTATAAAGGTGTCAGTTTTGTTGCCAATTAAAAGGGTAAAAATCTATTACTATATCTGTATGGCAGTCCAGGCATGATGAACCATTTCCGATATCTCCAAGATTGATCACGATTGTAACAGTATTCTATGGTAGGAGGCAGTATCACCACAGCATAGGCAGTCGTGGAAATTCAACATTTTCTCATGGTGGGGCCAGTATCACCAGATGACATGCACAGTAAACTGTTGCCGATGGTTCCTGGTTGCTGTTTCTCCTCTGCTGTCCCTCAAGTCTGCATCTCCCTTTACCCAGAAATCCATGCCGACGCATCTTTGTTTCTGTCCACGTAATAATGAAACCTCCTATTCCCCCAGGATCCCCATGTCCCGTGACTTTTCGCAGCATCTCGAGATGCGGTCGCATCCTCGGCACCATATCAATCCGGACTGCTTGATTGTATTATTTTATTGATTTCACGAAGATAATGGGATCAGATGACCCTGAATGGGATTTGAACTCAATGTCTTTGTATTCTGCGTTGGCCTCGCATATAGATATGTTTCAATAAATGCTGATAAAGTGCTACACACCATGCAATGCTGTCATCAGGAACATTGTGCATTCTGTGTGCGTTTGTGGGGAGAGGTCGTGTAGCGTTTTGCGCGCTGCGCTATGAACCTTCCCGCTCATGGCCAACACCAGTTACGATTATCTGAACCGGTCCTGGGCCTCTCCTAAGTGGACTCAGCCTCAAATGAGTACCTGGTGCAGTCTGTAAACATCGTCACTAGGGAGACAAAGGCGGCCGGGTGTGGCGTTAGCAATCCACCTCCTCGTGTGCCGTGCCAGCCTACATAGGTGCTCGCTAATAGCACTTGCCCCTCAACAGTCTGTTAAGGCTATATGGGGGACCTTTGTCTCTGTCTTTGTGTCCCCGCGGTGAATATGAATGTGGCCATAAAGCTAACATCTCTGCCTGGTGCACTTAAAGAACAAAACCTTACGATCGGAATAAACGAACACTGCGAGAAGCCCTTTCACGCAAAGTATAACCGTCGTCAGTTTTATTGACCACATTTTAAACATGGTTTAAAAAAAAGTCTAAATTAAATTGGTAAAAAAAAACCGATTTTATAAATTCGCCGATATAAAATCAGTACAAAGCAATAACTGCCTATTTCTCATTAATTCACGTGAATGGTTTTCCCACTAAAATTTGTATGCACAAACACAAAACTCAAAGAACGGAACGCTCTGTAAAACACGTTTATAACGTGTCCATTTGAATGCGCAAGACACATGGAGTGTTTATTTGGTGCGTAAGAGACACAGGATACACATTAACGTTGCATGTATATTTATATATGTAAAGCGCCTATTTTATGCGCGGGATGTACCAGAGAGGCCCATCTTATCTGCAGGAGAAGCGGAATGGCCGTGTCCACGTTTGGAAATGCCTCCTCCCAAGCCGACACGCATTTTTCTTTCGCCACGCTGTTTGTCATTCCTTGACAGTGCATCCCATCACATCGGCACTCTCCAAAATGCACGCTTCAAATAGCATTTCAGAGTTGTGGGTGGGAGCGTGGGAGGAGGGATGGGTGTGGGGAGGGTGGCAGCAGGAGAAGGCCGCTGAGACTGCCCTTGTCTTGCAGCTGCTAGTGCTGCCTCCTATTGTTGTCTGTTGCTCCCTTACATCCTCTAGAGAAATCAGGGTGCCCGGGGGTATGAACGGTCAAAAAAGTTTGGAGAATGGGATTTTTTTTGCTTGTTTGATAAAATGCGGCCTTTGAACGCGTGTGCTCGCACTCGTGCGCCATTTTGTTCTTTTTCGATGTTATACGCGAGAGCAATGTAAATTGTTACAAAATTAAAATGTTACGTTTGGGACGGTGCTACTTTTTTTTAAAGCCTCTAAGTTCTCAGAACGATTTTCGACGGCCCCCCTCGTGAAGGCAACGTCGTTTGTTTAACACGCGACCAATATTTATAACACTGTGTAACTATTTTTTTGTTTTGTTCTTGAGTAGTAAGTGTTATTTCTTAATTGCTTACGCCTCAAAAGTACAGAAAATGTCTATTATTCTCTACAAACTTTGCTTTTGTGATCAGGACAGTGATATTTTGAAATTTACCTATTTTCCAGAACATTCTAGATAGATTCAGTGCTGAGTAAACTTGGAGTAACTTCTAGAACATTCTAGAACTTTCCAGTAATATAAATAGTAGTATAAATGCAGAGGCCTTAAGCTCACCAGTTCAGTTTAGTTCCAGCTGCCTAAGTGGATACATATCTGCTTTTTTTCTGAGATGGCATCAAGAGGCTGCAAGCATCCAGCAGACGCATTTTGCTATGTCTGTGGCCAATTTCTGTTTAAGCATCTGCTAAGGTATGTATTTTGCTGTGCCTTTTTACACCTAATGAGGGAGGCTTGTGTTGCCTCCGAAACGTCGTGATTTAATTTAGTTGTTTTCATTTATTTTATTTTATTAATTGTTGGATGAAATTGTGCAAGTCGCAGATCAGAGGAAGTGTCACCAACCTTTTTGCCGCTTCTTCACCCATCAAGATGGGCTCTGCATCTGCTACAATGTGACCAGTCTGTTCGAGGCAATCAGAATCGCCTGTAACCAGAATGAGTGGCACCTCTTCATTGACAGCTCATCCAGGAGCCTCAAAGCCGTTCTGCTCCATAATGGTAACAAGTACCCGTCTCTTCCCCTGGCTCACGCGGTGCACGTCAAAGTGGATTACAACAGCATCAAGACCTTGCTGGACGCCTTGAAGTAGGATGAGTATGGCTGGGAGGTCATCGGAAACTTCAAAATGGTGGCATTGCCTGATGGGTCTCCAAGGCGGTTTTACCAAGATTCTCT